CACGTCTTATGTAGAATGACTATCTCTAAGGGAAAGCCAGCCTATATTCCCAAACAAAAGCACGAGCCGTTTCTGTAAAGGTACGCAGCTTTGGACTTTCAAGCAACTATATAAAAATCCCTAACTCACATTAAAAAATGAAATTATGATTGATTATTCATTATAAATTTTTATGATCTATATGATGGTATAATAAGCAGGGTGGACTCAGTGTTGTGCTATAGGATTAATCTAAATAAAAGCAGTCAGCCAACAGTAGGATATAGAGCAAAAGGTCTGTAGTGGCTGAGTTTTTTGAGAAAATTCCCAGGGGTAAAGGGTCAACACCAACTGCAGGTGTTTCTTAAGGAAAACAAAGGCAGGGGTAACACCCACAACAGAAACAATGAAGCAATGGAGAATGAGTGCACCAGTTTCAAGAGCCAGACTTTAGCCAGTGGCTCGGGCAGTAAGTTCCAGCTTTCTCCCAAGGCCTGCTCAAGGAGACTAACTATTTTAAAGGAAGCTGTGGTCCTGATGAAGTGGCAGCTGCTGTACTTCTTCCGGTTGCCGAGTTGCACCAAGCATACGCCAACCTGCCCACTGGCCGGAGTGACACACACGTGTGCATCCCAGAGGTGCTGCCATGACAGCTGCCATTGGCTCTCCCTTCATTGCCCTGTCCCCTTAGCAATAGCAGGCTACCCATGGTCCATCTGACTCTTAGCAGAACCATTCAGATGGGCAAGATCACGCCTCATGAGATTTACACCAGATGACCTTATCTTTGGAGGTCCACACAACACAGGAGTAGCATGGGAGAGGCTAGGAAGATCTCATAGGTAGCCTTGGCATAAAATAGGTAGGAGAGTCAGGTAAAGCACAAAAAAGACCAAAGACAAACTGGCAAATGTATTGCAAATGAATCTGGCCCATTGGTCTTGGTCCCTCTCTCTCTCTTTCTCTCTCGCTCTCTGTGTCTCAGTGTCATCCCATGGATCTGCTTTATACTATTACATTTTTATTACAGGTGACTTTTTCTCTACCCCCTAACCCGAGAAAGGACTTTGGTAGATAATGGAATGACACTGGACCTACTAAACACATTTGATGAGCAATAAGAGATCCTAGTTATCGAGTACTAGCTCTGCTCGGAGCCCAGATGTGAGCAGTGAGCCTGGAACACGTGACCTATCTGGTGTTCACTGAGAAGTCTCTCGGTTTTGTGAAGGCTCTTTTTGGTGGCACCAAGTGGCTTTAACCTTATTGTATTAATATAATTTTCAAACCTTCATCAAATGAAAATTGTGAAACCTTTGGAATTATCTGGACTTCTGCATGATTGGTTCCTACAATGTTGTCATTTTATAGTTTAAGCAGAAATACGTAACATTCACAAATTTTTCTTACAACTTCACTAAATTTTTCCAATTGTATGTTGCTACTTTAGACTCTCAGCAGTTAAAGACGATGAGGTCAGAGATGCCTGACAGGAGCCTGTAAATGGATTCCTTCTCATTAAAATGTGCACAGCAATTGATTGAATTTAATAAAGCTTTTTTTTAAAGTTGAGATTAATTACTGTAGTCATCCAGTGTTGTCTCTGAGGGTAATACCCTGAAAACGGCTAAATGGATTAGCAGAAATTTAGATGGCAGATTTTTTTTTGGACAAAATTTCTCTGTCAATCAAAATAATGTTAAAAGTTTATTAAGCCAGCAAACTTGAATGTTGAGGTGCACTGGCCGGACTGACATAAATATTTTATTTGCATGTTCATTTGTGTACATTTTTGAAACAGCCCTTCCACATATGCTGCTGTTCGCAGCTTGTAATCAATGTTTAATACAGCATCCATCAATCCAAATGCTTACCCTTCCTGTCATACTGAAGACCTTAGTAACTCCCTGCTGATTCACTAGTTATACAACAGTAGTTTTAAAAAGGGATGCTTCAATTGGCCACTGTTGTACCCATGGAAAAAGGTACTACTGTGGAATATTATGATTTATGAAACAGATTTTTAGTTATGCAAGTGATTGTGGGTAGAAGCATCCAAGGAATTGCTAAGTGGAAAATAATTTCTCAGAACTCTTTAATTTAATGAGACATGACCCATCCTGCCCCCCCCCCCCCACCCCCACCCTGATGAGGAGACTGTTGCAGGATCAGTTTCTTGATCAAAACCAAACAAATCTTTCCCTGTGCCGAATCTCTGGTAATGTATATGGGTGCCTCTGGCTGCCATGACAACTGGAGTGCTACCATGACAACGGAGGCTCCTCTAATGCTCTCCCGGCATGTGTACTAGGGGACACATGGTCAGTCCCAGCATCTCTTGGGTCACACAGGTCAGATTGGGCCAGGCAGTCATAAATATGGGTGCTGAACACTTGACCTTTAGGGTAATCATTTGTGATGTCTTTTGCTCTGGATGGTAGGAATTATTTTATAGCAAGTGGATAAGTGGGTAATAACCTAGACCTGTAGGTGGGTCATACATTAATCAAAATTAAGCTACATGAATAGTTATATTTAAACATAAATGTTAAGCCTCGAATTTAGCCCATGGAGCCAATTCCAGGGTTCAGTGGAATTCGATTCAAAATTCAGAAATCTGGGACAATGCAAGAGGTTTCTGCACAGATGTCATGAAAAGTAATGGACTGTGAGATTTGATAGTGAATGGCCTTTCTGAAGCGGAAACACAAAGGTCATTCCTAGGGATGGATTGATCCAAATTTTTTTAAGGCTGATTCTGATTGCTGGGTTTTTACAAGAAAATTGTCTGATTCTGATCCAATTGCTGATTTATTGTGTTTTTTTAAAGCAACAGACAAGAAAGAAAGAAAGAAAGAAAGATGTATATTTTCAAGATTTAAAGGAAAGAATTTGTGAAATCACATCAAATCAAGTTTACTGTAATGAGTAAAACATGGATGCTACAGCAGTTTTTTTAAATATAATTAAATCAATGTCATTTTAAAAATGATATCCTGTACATTGCCCGGTCAATTCTCCTTCAGCAGTGTATGCAAATTCTTATTTACAAAAAGAAACATTTCTGCTGTGACAAACTGGTCAGTTTCATTTCTTGTCCATCATACAAGAAGCTGAGCTGAACAAATGTTCATTGTCTACACTCGTGTGGGCCGCAGACAGGTAAACTTGTGCAACTTCAGCAAGCGCAGGAATGAAGCTTGGACTTCGACTTTGGAAACTTGGTCATCTAATGCAATAAATTTCATTATCTGTTTTGTAATTGCTGGTGCTTTTTGACTAGTGCTTTGGGTTTTCTGAAACATCATCTGTACTGATGTTTGAGTGAGAGGTGAAGCTAATGCCTGTTTAGCATCGTCAGTGTTCTTTTGCGTGACGCACTTTGAAATGTCGGATCAAATTTCTTAACTGTAGTTTTTTTGTGATTAACATTACAGATTGCAGTCTTAATGTGCTGTTCACAAATATTTCCACACAAATGAGATTTTGGGAAATAATGTGCATGTGCTTATGTGCATGATGCGTACGCTTCCGGAACGCAGATCAGCTGAGATAAACCAAAAAACGGTCAGTTTTTTAGGGACAAAAACAGGCCATTTCCGACTTATGGCTGGTGGACAGGTATATCTCTCAAGGTATTCCTCTCTTAAACCTCCCTCTGTTCCCATATTTGCATAAACTTCCACAATGGACATTACCTGGAAACTGCTATGAATGAGACATCTTGACCAGCGTGGGCGTTCATTCAACTTCTGGACGTTAATGAACCTCTCTCTATTTTCCAGTCCCCTTGAGTTTCGTTCAGTCAGCACATAAACTCACATGGCCTTCAAAGAACACAGGCCTTGCACTTGAAACGTCCTTCAGAACATTTATGTTTCAGAAGACCTTTCAAGCTCCTTGGGCTGCATAGCTAAATGAAAGCTTTCTCTCCCACCTCCGTTTTTCTGTAACATGCCCACTTGTTGCTCTGATGTCTGAATGGAGAGATAGTCATAGTTGGGGTGTTCAGCAGCCATTAAAAAAAACAGAGTCTCAGTTAATTAGACTCATGTTCTGGAGCACTGCTGGGAATTTTGGGTACTCCTGCTTGGCAAAGTCATTATGGCAATTAAGTAGAACAATTAAGCCGATGAAACAGGTAAAATCATTTGCTACATTTGTCATATTAAAATGTATATTAAGGTCCGCTCGAGACTTCACTCTAACAAACAAATCAATTATGTGATATGTAGAGCTAATTATCCATTGTTAATTTATATATAGAGAATAAAAGAACACTGAAAACAAATAATTTTACTGTCTTAGAGCAGTTGGTTAGAAATGTTCCTCTAAGCCAATGTTTCCCAATCAGGAGTTGGGAGGGAGCAAAAATGTGAACTGTCTGGCAGGGAGCAAAAATGTGGACTGTTTGGCAGGGACCTCTCCTCCCTTTGGGGTCATTCCATGTGTTCAGTAAATTTCATCACCAGATGAATCATTTAATTAATTAATTTAATGAGTTAAATAACTCAGTGAGGTATTGACTAGTCAAACATGTTGTGCTAGTGGCTGAATTAAACACTACACGGGTGTTTTGGAAGGTTGCTGCACATACAGGGGTGACTTAAGAAGAGGTTTTGAAATGGATAAGCGGACACAGTTTGGGAGGCATAATATCAAAGTCTTGATACCAACATGAAGATCATTTAAACATCATCTTCTTTGACTGCCTAAGACTTTTGATAGTAACAGATGACTTTTTAAAATAAAAATATATCTGCGATCCCTATATCAGAAATTGTGGTAAAAGATTCATGTGGCTAATTTCACATCACAGACTGATTAATCCCAAGGGTGAATATACAGATAATATTTAATGCCAAGCCGGCAATACTGTCTGAGGCAAAATTTTGATATCAAACAGACACTAGCTGATAACTAAACCTTTTAATAATCCTCTGATGTTGAGATACCAGGTCCATCATGAGAGGGATTAGCTGACCCCTCACTGAAACAGAAAATAACTTCAAGCCATTGAATAATGTTATCTTGTTAGAACTTTAATATTGCATGAACAGAATGCAATGACTCTTTCCACCTCACATCATCTTTACAGTTACATAAAAAAATAATGGGGAGATTTACAGATCTTGATTTTTTTGTTTTTCCAGAATGAGAACTCTATGTATTTATAAAGATGCTGTACAATATATAAACATTTACAGCTACCACATAATGTCGAGACCAAGCTAAGTTTCTGATTAACTAAAGTGCACAGGCCACTTTGTACACTGTATGCCGAAAAAGCAGTGTCAGTAGCCTTCAGGGGTCTCTCACAATGCCCTAGTGCAGATGACAATGATATACTGCAGTGTTTCCCAATCTGGTCCTGAGGGACCCACAGTCAGTCCGTGTTTTTGCTCCCTCCGAGCTCCCTGCCAGACAGTCCACAGTTTTGCTGCCTTGGTAGGTAGCTGGCAGGAAGCACAAACGTGGACTGTCTGTGGATCCCTGTGGACTGGATTGGGAAATACTGATATACTGAGACTCCCCAAAAATGAACTTGTCCAAAGTACTATGCAGTAAACTGTGATGTGATTGGCTGCTGCTTGCCAGCTAAATGCAGGAGATGGCAGGAGTGCTTCCGGCAGGGCTGTTCAGACAGCTCACTGACTGCAACTTGTTCTGCTTGTCCGTTCTTCATCCGGCAAATTCTTTTTAGAACAGTGTTTCTCAACCTGCGTTTTGAGGCCCCCAGACTGTCCACGTTTTAGCCGGGAGCTGGAAGGGAGGAAAAATGTGGACTGTCCGGCAGGGAGCTGGGAGGGACAAAAACTGTGTGAACTGGCTGTGGGTCCCCTGAGGACCGGGTTGATTAACACTGTTTTAGAATGATGCACATTTGTGAGATGCTGAATAAGACCTATGCAAGTTTAGCAAAAGCAATGCAAAAATAACTTCATTTTTTTTACATTTAAACCCCTCTATGACATGAGAAAGATCTAAATCAGTTCTTGTTTTTGGTCTGGAATCAAAAGATAAGAGAGTTCACTATTACTTCTTTTGCATGCGATAACCATGATGAATACCAGCTTGTGTATGTTTTCACAATATCTCTACAAGTTTACAGAACCGCAAAGGGGACTGCATACAGTAGTTGACGGTCAGTGCATGAGTTGCCTACCAACAGCGTGAATAAAAACTCTTCTCACAACTATAACTCAACAAGACCATTTGGGTAGCACACACATTTTGAGAAATGCTTTGAACCGAACAGATCTTTCCAAACATGTCTAGGAGTCTGTCATTGGCTAAATGCAGTTTTCTGTTATCCAAGTCACAACGTTTATCAAGAAGGACATCCACATCCATATCCATGCATGTGCCAAAGTTAGATGTTTCAAACAACAAAAGAATATTTCCTGGCTGAAAGTCATGCATTCATATACATTACCCACCGATGTATTTGGGGACATTACCCAACAGAGCTGTGGTCAGAGCCTGCTAACGACTTAAGCATTTAAATGGGACTCTCACTGCTCAAAAAGAAGACGGAGACTCACTCTGTCAACAAGCCACACCCACGTCCCCCCCGAGGTTTTCAAAAACTATCCAGCTACACTCGAAATCTGAGCTCACTGAAGCAGGAATGAGTCAGAGGGAAGAAGATCTGCAAAACAATGAACACATTGCAGACATTTTTGCTACAGCTGTCCATCAAAGACAGGGACAATCAGTGGAACGAAAACCCAAGCAAAGAATAAAACACCAACGGGAATTAAATTTATAGTAGCTGGGCCTTGAAGAGCCACTTTGGTGCTGATGCTTTGTTTGAAGGAGAATTAAATCTGACGCTGTTATAGAGCCCTTGATCTCGTGTCGGACACCATCGGTGAGGTAGCCCTCTCTCTCAACATTTTACGTGCATGAGTGAAAGTGTCAGCGTCGTGTCTGAAAGCCCACTGACTGCCATTCGTTGTGCAAGACTGACCTCTGACCTTCCATAAAAAAACAGTGATAAAGGACAGTGTAAGGTCATAAAACTCCAAATCCCAGAAGCCCACATCAAAATGCTGATTGGCTCAAGATGGATGCATAAATCTATATCACTCCATTTTTTTTTTCATTTGAATAAATTAGATACAATTTATCATAAAGAAGATAACCAATAAGCACAAGTCTCTGGTCGTATATATATGTATATATGTACACACACATTTTCACATTTTATTTTACAAGGTACCAAACAGGATGCATTTATGTAAGGAAGAAATTGTCCTAGAAATCCTTAAATTGTTTTTGGGAATAATAATTTAAGGTTTGAAGATCTGGACATATCAAAAAAGCAATATTTTAAATATTGTTTTGGTATCTGTATTTAAATATATACATTAAATTGGCACATTTGTCCAGTTGTAAAAAAAACTGGTTAGGAATTTCAATGTTTTTAAGTATTGAAGTCAGGGTCAAAATAAACTTTCCTGGATCACAATGTGTGCCAATAAAATACTGAAACTAATAAATTAAAGCTATAAAGTTAAATATTATATGACCAAAACTGTATAAACATGTTCACAGAATCTCTTAGCCTGTTTGGTACCTCATTTTACATGTTTACATGTAACAATCTGGAGTTTGGATGAGACATGCAAGGTTGTAATTTCCATTAACGCAAAAAGACAACAGAAGACAGGAGTCCAAATCTCCGCTGACTGAAAAAAATGACAGTTTTTTTTTGTCATCCTTTGTTTTTGCATGCAGTAAGACAAGGCCCTGACAGAGAAGCGCTCCATGTGAAGGTCTGTCTCCTGTTTCTCGTGGACGAGGCTGCGGCCAGCAGGGCGCAGGCAGGGGCTTGGGGGGGGGGGGGGGGTATCTGCAGAACTTCCGTCAGAGGGCTGCCACCTGTGCCACCGAGCTTCCAGAAACGCTCATCAGCAGCTGTCCCGCATGACTTCGGAGTAGGACAGGATTCTGGCAGAGCTTGGTATATTCCACGGGCCAGGGGTGATCGGCCCCCTCCCGCCAGGAGTGTCCTGCTTCCTGCCCGTGCACCTCCTCTGGTCAGGCCAGCTCTCCTCCTCTTCTCCTCTCGGCTGACTCCCCCTTCCCCAGCCTTCCCCTTGCCTCCCCCGGGTTCTGTTCCTCTCTGCTCCCTCTCTGTGTGTTTGGGTGTCTCGCTCTGCCTCCCTTTTCCTCCAGCCCGCATCCTCCCTGCTCCTTCGCTCGCCCTGCTGCTCCTGGTGCAGCTGTCTTGTTCCGGCACGGGCCTCCCCATGTTTCTTTTGGGAGCTGGGAGACCGGCTGGGAGTCTTCCCCCTGTTAGGACTGGGCGCCCCCTGGTGGTTGCACTGTCCCTCTGCGGGATCCAACAGCAACTCGTCTGCAGTGTTTGCGCCAAGCCTTCTCTCCACTGCGGCTTCCCAGCTGGCTTGTGGTTCAGGCAACCGAGGGGAGGACATGGGGGAGGCGGAAGGCACAGGGATAGGGGTGTTCCACTCCAGAGGCAGGGAGAGTGATTCTGCAGAGCTGACAGATGGAGATACTGGGCCCAGAGCGTCTCTCTGAATGCCTGCAGGTAAAGCAGTAGGTTAGTCCATTAGACCAGTGTTTCCCAAACCGGTTTAGCTCCCTCCGAGCTCCCTGTCAGACAGTCCAGGGAACTGTGAAGGAGCAAAAACGTAGATCGTCTATGGGTCCGCTAGACCCGAGTTGGGAAATACTGCATTAGATCAAACAGAGGCAGGGCTTTAAGAGTAAACCTGTGCCATCGGTCATCTAAATTTCTGATATCTATGATACATAACGTATCCATGACACAGGCCTCAGATGTAATGTGCAAATGATAACATATAAGTGGCTCTCATCTGTACAGTATTTCACTCTGGACTGGTGTCAACAATATGCATATGTATACAGAATACTTTTGATATACAAATAACTGCCGCATTATGTGATACAGTTACAATTAGATGTCTCCAAGTACCATGTGAACAAAGTTAACATCCAGGTTAAGGAACGGGAGATGTAATTGTCAGGACTGAGCTTCTGGTCCTAAGAGGACAATCGGTTAGGAAAATGGTACAATACCTAGCAGTATAAATGGTGTGAATATCACATAACATTATTTAAATACAAATGTCTCCTAATAAAAGTCATTGGGACAATAATGACAAGCATTAGCGGGGCTACACTGAGATTTACATAAACAGATAATTATTTCTTAAGGTCTCTTTGCCTGCACTGATCCGTAAACAAAGGACAGACTGGATCAACCAAGGCTTGGGGAAATCCCAGCAGAGTGGGAATCAGGGGGGTGAGAAAGGCAGAGCCAGGGCACCTCTGAAAGAGAGACATGGCCTGGAGGAATGAGGAGGAGGAGGAGGAGGAGGAAGACGACCTTTACCAAGGTGGCTGGAGCCAGAGCAGCCGGAGCAGCGAAACCTTTTAGTGGTGATGCTCAGATGTAGGGTAGTAGCAGAGAGTGGAGGAGGACAGAGTGCCTGGATGAAGAGGAGGACAAGGCAAGGCTGAGTCCCGGCCAGACGGAGGAGTGAGAGAGAGAGAGAGAGTGACAGAGAGAGGGAGAGGACAGAGTGCCTAGAGGAAGAGGAGGACAAGGCAAGGCTGAGTCCCGGCCAGACGGAGGAGTGAGAGAGAGAGAGAGTGACAGAGAGAGGGAGAGGACAGAGTGCCTAGAGGAAGAGGAGGACAAGGCAAGGTTGAGTCCTGGTCAGATGGAGGAAAGAGAGAGAGAGGGAGGGAGAGAGTGACAGAGGGAGGGAGAGGACAGAGTGCCTGGAGGAAAAGGAAGGAGAGAAGGACAAGGAAAGGCTGAGTTCCAGCCAGACGGAGGAGAAAGCAAATAGAGAGAGAGATAGAGAGAGGGCAGAGTGCCTGGAGGAAGAGGAGGATAGGACAAGGCTGAGTCTCGACTGGACAGAGGAGAGACACAGAGAGAGAGACTTTGACTTTTAAACTCCCTTTACTGACACAGAAGCACAAACAATGCCAGTAAAAAAAACTCCCAAAAAAAAACCACACAAATCCACAGAAGTCAGAAATGCCATGCTGTCACACGTTTAACACTGGGCCTTGATCATCACCAAGTTCACACAACACTCCGCATTGTCCCCACAGTCGAGAAATCCTGCAGGGTGTGGGTCAGCAAAGAGTATGTATTCTCCACCCTGAGCCACATCGCCACCAGCCCCACCAATACAAACTTAGAATCCGTCGACCCAGCCCCTCTCAGCTAATTTTTCAGAGACAGCCAAATCGCAAGCTTGGCCTGCCCCACCAAAAAGTTTAACATGCACAATTTACCCTTCTTACGTGCCTTGTATCTTGGACCATAAATGAGAAAAACATCAGAGAAATTTGCCCCACACCCACCAAACCACGCCATCAGCTGCAGGAACATGGTCTCAAGCCTTGCGAACCTCAAAAAAAGATGCACCAAAGTTTCATCTTGTCCACAAAACGTCAGTCCCCCACCACAGAAGGATCCACCACATGTCTGTTCGTTGCCACAGCCCCTTGCACCACCCTCCACTGCAGGTCAGCTGTGCGCTTCTCCATGGGGGGCTTGTACAGGGTCTTCCAACAGCCCAAGGGGGAAGGACCCGGTGTCAAAATACCCAACCGCCTGGAAGCCTCCCACTGTCCCTCCACTGCCGCTGAAATATGCAAGGGCGAGAAAAGCCCCCTCAGATCCCCCACCCCGTCCACCGCAGACCTCCCGGACCCCTCAGGCAGAACCAAAGAAACGTCATTGAGGATTGACTGGATGAGATGACTGGACTAGTACACAAGACAGAAACAGACTTCCAGGTTCTACTCTCTCTGAAATGCCCCAAGCTTTGCAATGCCCACCACCAGCATGGACCTTCGAAAAACCTAGATGATAGAGCACTGACCCGAATTAGGGGGCTGTAAGACACCGGGTCCTCCTCCACGCTGACACACGGCAGAGAGCCAGGCCTATCAGTCCGCAGCACAGGACACTTTCAGAACGGACTGATTAAACAAGGTGGTCACGGACACTTCCACGTCCTTCAGGTCCAGCACGAACAGATGTCTGTCATCCCTCCCGCCCTCCACTCGCTGCAGCAACATGTACGCTGTCTCGGCCCATAGTAACCCTTCACCCTTCAGGTGTCTTCAGTCTGAAAACAGCGATAGGGCCAGCCAGGTCAACAAGTCCCTGACTGCCTTCCCTCACAGGCAAAAAAAAGCTCGGAGGCACGGGTCAAATGTTAGCCAGACCAGAAGAAATCAACAAGCATCTTCTGGAGCTTGTAGGACAGCTGAGGAGGGATCTATGACCAATGAGACCTAGGATACACGTCCTCCAGCAACCCCTCCCAATTCTTACTAAGGAAGTCCTCCGATCCGAAGTGCACACCAAGATACTTCACACAGACACTTCACCATAAGGCACCCAGTAACTTCAGCAGTACTCGACCCTGTCACTGTCCATTCACATGGCACATACACTTATTCCAACTGACACAAGCCAAAGGTGTCTTCTCGTACAGCTCCAGGCCATGAGGGAGCGCCGGAACATCCCCTTCCCCCCATACAAACACAGAGACATTGTCAGCATTAGCAGACAAAACAATGTGCCTTACTTAGGCCTGGCAGCCCCTGCAGCTCAGCCCTCAGCCAACACAGCAAGGGTTCAATGGCCAAGCAGTACAGTTGACCAGACAATGGACACCCCTGCCAGATACCCCTCCACACCCTGTCGTTCCCATGCCAAAAGCCACAAGGAACTTATGACTGAATCTGTCAAAGAGTCTTTTTCCTGATCAATAGAAGTAACTTTAAAATCGGGTGAATCCAGTCTACACAGGTCCATCACATCATGCATCAAGAACAGATTGTCCATTATGGTGCACCCAAGAACACAATAGGCCTGAGCAGGGCACACCAAGTCCTCCAGCTGCAGCACGCTAACCTATTAGAGACGCATTTCGACAGGATCTTATAATCACTGCGCACCAAGGAGAAGGGCCTCCAGTTTCACAACAACTTTGGGAGGAGAATCAGCACAGCCCTCGTGCAGCTAGTCGGCAGCCATCCAGCCTCCAGAGTCCAGTTAAAGACCTCAAGCAGATTTGGTCCCAACAAGTCCTTACAGAATTCCGCTGGTAGGCCATCGACCCCCAGCACCTTCCCAAGCAATAAACTGCTGTTGTTAGTTCCTGGAGCCGAAGGTCCTCATCCAGGGCCTCCCTCTGTGCCATCTCCAGGCTGGTCAATCCTGTCAATAACTCCTCCATGCTGGACAGATCACACTCTTTTTCACCAAAAAGCGCTGCATAATAGTCCATGGCCAGCCTCTGTAGTTTCGACGGTGATCTTCCAGATGCTGAAGGTATAACATATCGGCTTGGATCTCGTCATTTTGCCCAAAGTGAAAAAGAAAGATCTCACAGCATCCATGTCCCTAATCTGAGACGGACCAAAGCCCCTTTCACCCGTTCACTCGGGAAGGAGTTCAAGGCCTTCCTCCTTCCTTGCAATACACTCACAGTGTCAATGGCATCACTAGCAACCAAGTGCCTCTCAAACAAAGCAACATCCCTCTCCAAATCCGGAAGAACGTTGCTAACCACGGCCCTTGACTGAGCGGCATACTGCTGGCAAAAAACCCAGATCTGAACATTACCCACATCCTACAAGAATAAATCCAGAAAGTGCTTCTTTTCCTTCCTCCATCACCCCCAGAAGACAGCAAAGCCCCAACAAAAACAGCAGCATCCTATTGTCAAAGCGCAAGTAGTACCTTGACATCGAAATCTTCGACAAAAGTACACCAACCTACACCAAGTGGTGGTCAGAGAAAGTGCAAGTTATATGTGCCGTCGAAACCTCATTCCGCCCAAACTTTGACACAAAAATCCTATCCAGCCTAGCAGTGCTGACCCGACCACCCGACAACCCCAAACCCCCTTTTGTCAGGAAGAGAGTCAGCACGGGCTTCGTGCAGCTAGTTGGCAGCCATCCAGACCTCAGAGTCCAGTCACAGACCTCAAACAGGCCCCAACAAATCCCAGAAATGTTTATAAAACTCCGCTGGCAGGTCATCGAAGCCCGGCGCCTTCCCAAGTGACAACCGCTGAACTGCCATTGTTAGTTCTTGGAGCTGAAGGTCTTCATCCAGGGCTTTCCTCTGCGCCATCCCCAGGCTGGCCAATCCTGTCAACAATACCTCCATGCTGGACAGATCATACTCTTCTTCACCAAAAAACAGTCACCCCCAACCACAACAAAACATCACGACAGATCATCATCTAACCCCCGAAAACACCATAGCCGATCAGTCCCTCAGGTCAGCGCATAAACGTTCACAAACAGGAAAGCAGTCCCCCCAACTGTAGCCTCAACCAGCAGCAGTCCACCGTGCTCCACCTCCCGCAGCTGCACACCTGCCATTCCCACCCCCTCAGAAAACAGAATGGCGACCCCCACACTCGCACATGTACCATGACTGAAAAACAGCCCACCCTTCCACCATAACCTTAAATCCACCTCATTGTCCCCGTCACTATGAGTTTCCCGCGGAAACAGCGCATCTAAATGATGCAGCTTCACAAATTCAGCCACCGCTTATCCTTATCTCTTCCACCATTAATGTTTAATGACCCCATGAGTAACTACTCCATGGAAGTTGTAAGGAAGAAAAACAGAGAAAGAAGGACAAAACAGTGCAAGATCGAGAAAAAGCAAATTGGTGAGTAAAATTTGCAAATTGGTGGTGCAAATTTGCACGCACCGGACCCACAGCCCTGCCGTAACACAATCAGTAACAAATTTTCTCAGTCGGTACCTCTTCTGCATAGATAACTCCTCATAACTAGCTGTCTCTCGGAAATGTCATACCGAGGCCAAAAACTTCTGAACATCCGTGAAGAAACCCGAAAGTGGCACGGACTTCCCATAGCTTCCCATCCAGAAACTCATCAACCTCCTTCAAGGAATACAGCTGCTGATATCGTCCCCCCCCCTCCGACACAGCTAAGCCAGCGACTGGCTCCACACCCACAGCCGGCTCACCAACTCACCAATAATCACCAAAACACAAAAAGAAAAATCAAAAATTAGAAAATACATGGAACTCTCACACCAGCCACAGGTGGCTACTGTGTACTCTCATACGCTCTGCCCACTCCCAGCAGACACTCTGAAAGAGGGAGAGAGAGAGAGAGTGCAAGCAAAAGAGGAAGAGAGAGTGTCTGGAGGAAGAGGAGGGAGCGGAGGAAAAGGCAAAGCTGAGTCCTGGCCAGACAGAGTAGAGAGAGAGAAAGAGAGAGAGAGAGAGAGAGTAGCTGAGGCATATATGAACCAGGAGCGCAGAGGCATGCAAGTGAACACAAACACACACACACACACACACATACACACGTTTGTATTCTTATCTTTGTGGGGATCACCCATTCAAATAAGTTTTTATCACATTGTGGGGAAATCTGGTCCCCACACTTGGTGCTTATGATTAAGGATAGGGCTGGGTAGGGGTTAAGGTTGTCATTGTTGGGATTAGGCATTCCTGTAGAAATGAATGGAGAGTCCCCATAAAGATATAAAAACATGAACTGTGTGTGTTGTGTGTATATATGTGTGTGTGCACATGTGTGTGTGCGTGTGCTCACGTGTGTATGTGTGCGTCTGTGCGTATGTGTGTGTGTGTACGTGCGTATGTGTGTATGTGTGTGTGTGTGTACCTGTGTGTGTGCAAGTATGTGTGCGTGTGTGTGAACGTATGTGTGAGTGTGCATATGTGTGTTCGTGTGTGTGTGTGTGTGTATGTGTGCGTGTGTGTGTGTTTGTATGTGTGCACGTGCGTGTGTGTGTGTTTGTATGTGTGTACGTGCGTGTGTGTGTGTTTGTATGTGTGTACGTGCGTGTGTGTACCCTCACCGTGGTCCGGTGCCAGCCCAGGCCCGGGTTTGAGCAGCAGTAACACCTTGCTGCCCCCGGCCTGGATGAGCTCGATGGCTCTGGTGTGTGTGATTCCCTGGGTTGGCTCCCCGTTAATCTCCACTATCTGATCCCCCACCTGTCGGCAGAAAAAGAAATTAAAATCACCCCAAACCTTAAAGTCCCTAAAACATCCTAATGTTTATAGCTCAGAAGATCCAAACAAGCTCACTCCAGAGGCTTTGGGTGAATGTTACTGCCATTTACACACTCTCCATGTCCTCTCTCGTAACTGTATTTCCTGTATTTTGTATAAAAATAAGAGCCCAGGTTCAAACCTCCATCAGTTCGCGTCTCTACATGCATATGCACAATGGTGGAAAGTTCAGATCCAGAAAGTACAAATCCAGACCAAGGTTTTGTTTCAACCAACCAGTTGAGTATAAAGAGTCACAGTCACAGAGAACTCAACTAGTTGGTTGAAACAAAACTGTGGTCTAGATTCGTACTTACTGGACCTGAACTTTTCACCTCGGCATACGTACACCAGCCAGCTGATGTCCTGCTCCTACTGCCTCAGACCTCCAGCTCCCCCTAGAGGCCAGTGGATACAGACTCACATGTATCCTCCCGTCCAGCTGGGCAGGGCTGTCCTCTGCCAGCCGAAGGATGTACAGGCCCATGTTGTACTCCTTCCCCCCCCGCAGGCTGAAGCCAAACCCTCGAGGACCACGGTCCAGCTCCACCGTGAAGCAGCCCTGTGCCGCACACACACACACACACACACACACACACACACATAATCAGGGATTGTGATTCTCACTGTCACTGCTCTGCTCTCCCATTCCATTCACAAGACCCCCATTCCACCCCCAGAGGAGGAATTGGCACGACTCACCTGCCGGGGCCCCGCCATGCACACGCTGCTCTGCTCATTTGCCCCCCGCGTCCTGTAACTCGCCCGGGAAGAGCCCTCCCACTTCTCCTCCATTTCCAGGTTGCATCTACAAGCCAGAAGAGCATCTGTGATTCGGCCAGATCTGTGACAGACCATCTGAATCCCAATCATTCGTAGCGGCAGTGAGCGAAACTTCGGTGGGGATTCCCAGAACATTTTGGGCAACACCAACTCCTGCTAATTATTCATCATCTATTCAGGCCCTCAAAGCTACTGCCCACTCCCCCAATAACGGAAGTAAGGGAATGTCTCCCACTAGACAGCAGCGGCACAGTTCAGTTATTTACAAGAACGACACTAAACAGTTTTTTGGGGGGGTTAAAATACGAGGAGGGATGGCCTCACTTCTGCGTGTGAGCGCCAGAGCGCTAACGGAGCCTGGGACAGCGCATTGGATTAAAGTGGGTGCACGGGTAATCTCGTTTAAGGGGAAGATCAAAGCAGAGAGAGAGGGAGGCAGAGCCGCCATTTATTTGCCAGTAATAACCCAGCCGCTCTCCTCCTTTTCTGGCTCAGTAGCTTAGCACGGGCCCCTGGTCATAAGCAGCAGATTATCCATACGAAGCTTCCCAGGGCCCCAATTCAACAGGGCCGCAAGACGAGCTTGTCGCTAAGCCTTCAAAAGCACGTCTCTTGGGACGGCAGACGATTATACGCTAGGGCTCGGGAAGATACGCTGTGGGGGGTGGGGGGGGTGTATTATTTACGCCACATGTGCTTGTTAGTTGTCTTGGCTGGCAGGCCGGAGTCAGAAGAACAGTAGTTGAATGACTGTTTTAGTTCTGTCCCGGAATGTGAGCCTGGTCAATGAGATGATAAATGTCACCGAGGGCATGGATACCGGTCATCTCGGGTGGCTGGCTGCTGGCCCACGGCTCGGTGCTGCAAGGCTGGACTGTTCTTGGCTGAACTGGCAGCAGATGGAGGCCCAGTGTATTCTGGGAGACGGACAATAGTTGGTCAGTCACGAAAACACACGGTAACAATTGCCCCAAAGAAACACACAAAATCTGTACTGCATCAGGAACCTTTTGGTTTGTTAATGTTACGAGCTGGGTGTCCTCAAATTCAGGCCATAGCACACACACATATCTGTCCTGGACAATTTTAATCTCAGTGTCATCTACCTTTTAAAAGCAAATATTTTTACTTTAATGCGCTTTACAGCAGTTAAGTGTGGCTAATTATAAATGTAGCTCCAGTTATTGGACTGCAAATCCCTGCAGCATCCTTGTCAATTCCAGATTACAATTTTCACAATAAGAAATCTCATCTACATAAGTGATTCAAAGAATTATGACCATAAGGTCGCTGGTTCACATCTCAGGAAGGGTTACGCATTTGCGCCCCCAAACAAATGACTTCATCTATTTTACATGGAATACCTATAGTGGAATAGTAGGATATTCAGCTACATAAAGGGATTGATCTGGTGACACATTGATAAATACAAATTATTTATTTCTTTTTTAGGAAAAGCTTCTCATTTAAGAACATTCTTCAATACTTAACATTATTATAAAACATTGTAAAAATAAGTGGGCAAAAACCCATTTGTAAATTACGGCTGCAAGTGTTCCTGTCTGCACACAGAGCAATAACTGTCACAGACACATTTGTCTACTGGAATTTTACTACATTTCCCAGCAGGCTCTGCACCGAGCATGCTCTTACCATCTGCCGGGACCACTGACAGGGTGACAGAATTGCCAGCGTCCTTGATGAGTTGCACAATGTCGTTGTGTGACAGCTGCACGATGGACTGGCTGTTAACGGCCAGGATGCGATCTCCCACCTTGAGCCGGCCGCAGCGGTCAGTGGGGCTGCCCTCGATGATGCGGCCGATCTTGTGTGGTATCACTTTGCCAGGGAAATAACCGCACCATGTTAGTTTAGACAATAACAGTGAACAAGCCCAACAGCAGATTTACTAAAGTCATCTAAAGACACTCACGACCTGCATAATCAATGACATCACACACCCCAAGCCAGGGATCACCTCAATACAGTCACATCTTGCATCACGCAAGGTTTAGGAATGACCAGACATGCACAAGCAACTAATCCAGCAGACAACAAGAAACGCAATGCTCCATCCAAACATTAAACCTGCACCTAGAATATGTGAGCGATATCCACACAAACAGGGAGACCATGCAGACTCACATACACACACACACACACACACACACACAGCAGGGCCGGGATTCGAACCCTCAACCCTGGAGGTGTGAAGCAGCACTGTGTCACTCTGCTTCCCCTTAATATGCTTATTAAGTCCAAATTATCACAGAAACAACCTACAGGTATTTGCATAATGAATGCATAAGACTTAAGAGTTTAAGATGACATTTGTGCAGTGCTGGTGGGGTTCCTCAGTGGGCCATTAAAGGTCAGGGTGATTGTGTGTTTGTGGGTGTGTGGCCTGCTGAGAGGGGGGGGGTCTGACCTCCAGGGGGCGGCTTGCTCTTGGATGTGAGGATGACGAACCCAAAGCCCTCGCTCTCCTTGCGCTGCAGGAGGATGTCATAAGGGTGGGGCTCGGCCTGGCCTAGCGCTTCTGCACGGGGCAGCCTGGGGGAGCCGTTCAGCAGGGGGGGGGTCGCCAGCTGCTGGCCCCCGTCTGCATCCCCACCGTCTGGGAATAGACGATCAGACCACAAACTCAACATGGCAGCAGTATACCCGTGGAGTTTGTACATTCTTTGAGATATTTATGAGCTCCTTGCTGACAGTTTTTAAGATCTTTCTTAATAGAACATCGACCATGGCCACCGGAAGCTTCCACGCACCCCTGTAGATAATAGTCCTGCGGACGGTCAGCAGGACCTGGCCGTTGCGGGCGGCATTGGTCATCAGATCCAGCACCTGCTTGTGTGGCCTACCCTTGACCACAACGCTGTCGATAGCTATGAGCTCGTCTCCTGCCCGGAGATGACCTTCCTTCTCGGCCGCCCCTAGGGGCACGATGGCGCCGATGTAGACCTGCCGGGGGCAACATCATGGCAGCTGCTTAATGGATATGAGCCGGTAAAAACAGATTCCCCACGGATATGGGTCAACGTGGCCGCTTGGGATGTGGCGGTTGGAAATGGACAAATGGCTTTTGGGCCAACGGGAGCAGAGAAGAACACAGATCAGCCAGAGCTTAAGGCCAATCAGAGCCGCCCTGGACTGCGGGTGTCTCTGTCTCACCGGCTGTTTGGGACTTTCTCCACCCAGAACTCGGAACCCGAATCCAGACTCCTGGTTCCTCTTGATGAAGATGTCCAATTCTTTCATCACTGGGCCTGGGAGGTTTAAATATAAGCCATGCTTCTGAACCAGATAAGTAACATAACACCCTAAATATACCCTAAATATACCCTACATATACCATAAATATATGCCATCATTTCCAGTGATTCACTTCTTCCATTGCCCAGCCAATCTCTACTTTCCCCTTTTAGAGCATTGGTTTTCACTACAGCTAACCAGTTAATGACCTCCTTCTGCAGCGATTCTTCCAGGGAACCCGGTCTGAGATGGAGTGCTTTGTGTTTACGCCCTCATGCCCTCTATCTCGATGGCTGGTTATGCTACATACTTCATAGACTCAAAGATACAAAGCTTTCCATGCCAGGCAGGCCCAGGAAACTGACTAGCCTAACTGTAATTTAGCCGATTTAAACTTAGCTAGAATTTATGATATTTTTGCGCTAATGTTGTTGTTTCTTTTTTTAACCTGAATTTAAATCAGTTACCTCAAGTGTTTATTCTTACTAAGGCTGCCTTGTTTTTAAACTATTTCACTACATTACATGCCCCAGTACAAGTTGCTAATTGTCAGTTAAAAAACTGCAGTCTCCTCTGGCCTTTTTCTTATTTGGGATGATAATAGAAAAATAGTATTAGCATGATAACCTCCACGCCCCGGCTGTAATTTGGAGGGGGGGGGGAATCCATAAAGTTGCAAGGATTTAATTAACTTCTGACCTAAGACGAACAATAAAGGATGCAAAAAGCTGGAGTCTGATAATGGGGGTCAACAGCAAAACTGACTGATGGAGAATTTTCAATATAATTTTACATAGGACCATTATCTAGACAAATTAGCATGATAAAACAGTCGGGTATTTTTTACTTTTTTGATGCTGTACTTAAAGGTACATCTTCCCACCTAGACTCACCCGTACTATCCACCGCAGCTTTGGACGTTGCGTAGAGCTCGGTGGAGTCCAGCCTGGGGGAGCTAGGTCTCATGCAGCTCGGTGGGGGCTGCGGGGGGGCTTCTGGGACAGGGTCTAGAGCTTCGGCACTGGACATCATGTCCTGCTTCTGTGAGAGCGGAGTAGTTAAGGACCTGAATGTACCCACATCTACCCCCAGAAAGGACCTGGCTGTAGTGGCTCAATGCAGTATTTCTCAAACTTTTGGAATTGGGAGGGAGCAAAAATGTGGACCGTCTGGGGTCCCCGGGGGGCTCGTTTGAGAAACACTGTGCTAAAGGAACTTAACCTAATTTTTGCACGCTCATAATATTCAATTACTTGAAGAAGTTTAGAAGATGCATGAAAAACAGTTACACGTTTCACTGTAAGCGAAGGAAAAAACACATCTATTAAATTAGTAATTAATGAGCTGGAAAATTATTTGGAGCAAGCAAAGAAACAGGTACAAAATGCCAGTGGTTATATCAAGAAATGGTGGATTTCTGGCTAAGGATGGAAAAGCGGTGCTTTACAATATAGCCACTTAAAGTATCATCCTGAATTTGAGTTTAGACAACCCAGTCTGAATTAAAAGAGCTCCCCCTTATTGCCTGGTACCACTGACATATATAAATCTACTACCACATAAGGAATTCTCAGCAAAGGTTTTCACTAATCACAGAAAGGGTCCAAAGGCTTGGAGTGGCAATTAAGCAAAGCATACAGTAATGAAATATTTTGCTTTTACTTACCGGTTTCAGGGATTTCACTGGAGACGTTTGGCCTTAAAAGAGAGGAGAAGTGAAAATCAATAATTGGGTGTAAGTCAGAGGCGCAAATACAAGTGAGACATCAGTTTAATGAGACTGGTGTGCAGATGTGGAGATTTCAGGACCACAGAATACAAATCCAGACCAAGGTTTTGTTTCAACCAACCAGTTGAGTATAAAGAGTCACAGTCACAGAGTACCCAACTGGTTGGTTGAAACAAAATCTTGGTCTGGATTTGCACTCTCTTGACCTGAAATTTCCACCTCTGCCGGCATGTCAACACGTTAGTGACGTGTCACTGGAGGCCCAAGCTCAGGATCTGTGCTTTTGCACGCTTATAATTCATTTCTAACCCATGATGCCTCATACGATATCGGGCAAAATGGCGAGAGCTGTGCCGCGGTTATCAAACTGAATCCTTTGATTCCACAGGGAAACACTTTAGCAGGTGTTTAAGGTGGAAAGTCTAAGATGACTGGGATCACATCTTATGAATACATCTACCACTAGGTGGCAGTAGGTCCAAAATCAAAAGATGCAGGAAGCGCTCACGATTTCTGAAGCTCTATATGGACACGTTGCTTTTAAAGATAAAATCCGTTTTAAAAAGCCCACAGATTCCTTTAATTTTATCCCTGTCTAGAGGTGAAACCGAGGTCACCGGGTCTTTTCCACTGTGCGTGAGAAGGTTCTCAGAAATTATTTTTCTCCCCCTGAGAACGCAAGATGGTGGGCATGAATTAAAGATCTAGGTTCCGTTGATTGTCATGGAGTAGGAGCTGTCTGTCTCAGAAGGGTTTCAGGGGGGTGTTCCATGAAGCAAGATTTTCTCAGTTAGCTGGGTTAACTTAAGCTAGAATACGAGTTCAAAAAAGGAGCATTCCTATTGGACAGTCAAGACTTCTATCTTAAGTTAACCCAGCTAAGTAAGAAATCCTGCTTTGTGGAATACCCCCCCTGGACAGCAGAGCAGCAGACGCATAACTAAACTATAACTAAACATACAAACAATGACAACAACAAAGAGAACAACAACAACAACAATAATAATAATAATAATAATGATGATGATGATGATGATGATGAAATCACCAAAAAAGAGCAGTAATGTCACAGGCCTGATGGTGAGCTTGGGGGGGGGGGGGTTACACACACTGAGAAGCCAGGAAGGATGTGCACCTCAGCCACCAAATATCACCAGCCAGTAGGTGTGGGCACGAGGGGAAGCGTGGGTTTAAGACCGTGTGAACATTCAGTTCTCCAGTCGGGATCAAAGCTGCCCTGGTGGGTTGGCTGGAAACCAAAGACAGACCCCCACCCTCACCTACCCGATAAGCCAGGATGTCTGCAGGCTTACATAATCCCCCCCGCCCCTCCCTCCACCCTCAACCAAATCAGGAGCTGAAATCATTATGCCTCTCTGAAACTGCATGGGAGGGGTTATTAGTATAAATAACCTGCGGGAGATGAAGGTGGAGAATCAAGCAGGGTGATGGGATTGGGTGGAGAACGTGCGTGTTAGGAGAGCTGTGCGCTTAAGCCGGAGAAGGAGGAGACTGAGCAGGTCCATGGTAATGACTACTGCAGAGCCTGCAGTTAGCAAGCCTTAGTAATGCTACCGTACACATATATATAGATCCATATCACGTCGCCAGACCAGGCGGGTCAGAGAATCAAGAAGATTATGGGAGAGGGATATATCCTGAAAGCTATTCCTTTATATCCCATCTACTCTGACCGACAAACATTAGCAGATGCTTTTTTCCAAGACAACATGCACTTTTTTGAGAAAGCAGGGCCACACAGTCCCTGGAGCATTTGGGGGTTAAAGGCTTTGCTCAGAGGGCCCAACGGTGACATCACTCTGCCGACCCTGGGATCTGAACCAGTGACTTTCTGATTACAAGCGCAGCTTCCGAACCCACTGAGCCACAAAAGCTCCCCTGAATGCAGTTAAAAGCAAAAAAAAAATAAACACATTCTTCTGTGGCCCCCACGGGAGAATTTGCAGGCAGGGGTACAAGGTAGAGATTCAGTAGAACTGAGGAAGCGGGTTTATCCGCATGCGCTTAGCCGTGGAACCAGGCTAAAAACTACACCCACGAGCAAAGATTAAGGCCCCCGAAGACGACATATCAGGCAACCTACATTTTTTATGTGTCCCATCTTCAGGCATGAATGAGAATAAATGAGAATGATCCTTCCACTTTACCGTCTTACAGTATATTTGCCCAGAACGATGCTGTTGATTCTATTAATATTTATAGATACAGAAATGTATAAATACTTCGGCAAGTGTCAAATTGAGGCAAAAAATGGAACTGAGGAGCAAAAAGGGAAAAATATGCGAGTGATGGGAGGGTGTAAGTCCAAGTGGGAGAACAAGGGGGGGTTCATTGTAGTTCACAATTCTGTATTATTTTTCACTTTATATAATGTGCTTCAAAGCTTTGGAAACAAACCTACTTTGGCGACAGAATCAGAGCAGGTTTGAAAATGAGGCAAAAGAGGAAAAGATGACAGAGACAGTGGTGAACGACACCTGCTGGTTTCCTGACCCGAATCCTGTAGCGCGTTAGCAAGTAGCACCACCTTCATGATTCTTCAGCCGAGAAGTGGTACAAGGCTCGGAGGCCGACTGTAACTCTGAGCTGGTCTGAAGACCTGAGTGTGCGGCTAAGCTCCTTAAAAGGAGGGAAAGTGCATCCTTTTGCTCGGCGAGTTCCACGTGCAACTCGCTTATGGTTCCAAGGAACTCCGCATGCCCAGCTGGGGTATGCTGACAGTGAAATCTGGCTGAAGAGTTTCCTCAGACTGATCTGGCAACAGATAGCTTTGAATATTTTCCGCATTTGCATTTAGTGCTGTGCCTTGTCGGCACAAGTCAGTCTCTCGAATGAGCAAATGGCGAATCGAGAAAAGTGCTCATTTTGATTACCAAATTAATCTGTGGCAATGTGTTCTGCTTCCCCAAACGGCAACTGGCCAATCTTGCTCTTACCCTCTTCCAACCCTTCCTGCCATGTCAAAAAACTGCGCTTTATGAGATTGTGCCTGGATTAGTCAAACAAATGAGAAACCAGTTGGACAGATTTAACAAAGACTTAAAGGCGGCGACTGGTTTGAGTGATGAAACGGAGCCTCTGAATGTATTATCCAGGCAACAGCTTTTGAGACTACACAAGCCTCTACTATCGTTCAGGTGATTAGAACATAATGAGAACATTGACTAGCTGTCACCATAGGTGGTGCAATCTGAAATGCCTTCAGGAGCAGACCAATCCTTGTGTCCTTTAAGAGCCACCAAACAAGCAAACAATTAGGTAAAGATTAAAGTGGAGAAAATGGAGAGGGATGTCAGAGGATGCAGATCTACGTACATCTTTGACTCACATCTCACTGCACAAGCACGGTTCCTCTCATTGTCTCTACTAAGCTACTCAGACCAGCCCCTCAGCTCACCCACCTCCCCTCAGCACCAGGACGTTGACCTCACTGCCCACCGGCAGGTCCTTCAAGATGTCCACCACCTGGGCGTGGCTGAGCGTCTGCACGTTCTGCCGGTTGATCTCCTTGATGACGTCACCCTTCATCAGGCCACGGCACCACTGAGCGTCCAGTATCATCTTGACTTTTTGGCCCAGTGGGCAATCAGCGATGGCAAAGCCGAAACCTCCAGGACCCTTCACCAGGAGAACGTTCACCAGCTCGGGCTGCAGAAGGGACTGGTTGGGCCTTTCCGGGGCAGCAGGCAGGGCAGCCACCAGGGGTCTACCACTGGAGTCAGTGGTGAGGTAGTGGAGCTCCTGGGAAGAGGCTCTCAGGGCGTCGGCCTTCACGAGCAGCGGCTGCCCGTTGATGAGCGGCACGGCCGTCACCACCTCGGCACTCACTTCTGCGTCATCGTCGGCATCTGCGTCTTCTGGCAGCGGGTATCCCCGGCACAGCACCATGTCCACATACTGATTGACAGGGATGGACTGGAACATCTGCACCACCTCGGCATGGGTCTTCCCCAAGACGCACGTGCCGTTGATGTCCACGATGACGTCGCCTATGTGGGGAGGGCGGGGTGGTGGAGAAGACAGTAGGTGAGAATGTGGATGAGGAGCCAGAGATGAGACATAGAATGGTGGAACGTGGAAAGCGGCAGGAAGATGGAGATGAGAAAAAGTAGAAGAGAATTAAGGGTTTAAAGGGATGTCAAATACTATATCATCCCAAAATCCTATTGATTCCACTTGCCATAGTCGTATTCCATACACCTACAATGGCTTACTCCTTGCGTTGATCAATCCCTCCCTGCTTCTCGCTCTTTCTGTCCACGGCTCCCGGGGCAGATCAATGCCGTGAAGGCGGACGAGGCTGCTTTCTTAGCATCTTATATCATTGAGATTCCTGTTGAGATTCTCTGTACCAAAGCTGCAGCCCCGAGAGCCAGATCGATAATAGCGTGCTGAGATCAGACGGCACAGTCTCACAAAGACATGGGTGGCGGGTTCGCCCCACGTCCCGGGTGGGGGTCTTTAATGAACCTCGATCCACTGGAAGACTTCAGCTTGATGGGGATGCTCATTATACTGTGCACCCCTAATTCCAATGACAGCCTTACAGGATTAGTTACATGTTAATATGCAGCAGGAGCAGGACACAATTACGAAAAAAAACCTCTTTTCCAAGTTAAAACAATCTAGATGATTCAACATAAGCCCTGCAGCGTGCTGGCAGTTTTGAGGGGATGAGATAAGTTTGCTACAGCAAGGCTGTGGTCCGGCAGGTTTTAAATTTTAATTAGTAACACCTGAAACAGGGTGAGATGACTTGCTAAGAAAATTAAAGGTAATTTTAGGTTGCTGAGTGCAAGGCTAAAACCATGTGACTTGAGCCTTGAGACTTCTGCAGTGCTGTCGAGGGGCACAGAAGGGCAGAGGTGGAAAGTCGGGGTCCAGGAAGTACAAATCCAGACCAAGGTTTTGTTTCAACCAACCAGTTGAGTATAAAGAGTCACAGTTACAGAGTGTTCAACTGGGTGGTTGAAACAAAATCTTGGTCTGGATTTGTACTTCCAGGACTTGATGGGTTAGTGGAAACGGGGCACTGCCAACACGTACCGGAGGCGATGGTGTTGTCATGGGCAGCCGGCCCGTCGCTCAGGACGTTCTTGACCTGTAGGAACTCGTGGGGCCGGTCGCCACCGATGATGGTAAAGCCAAAGCCCTGGGCGCTCTTTCTGAGGGTCGTGCGGATGATCACCCCCTGCAGCTGGGAGGGGTCCAGCGTGAAGATACTCGAGCTGCCATCTTCTGTTAAATGATGGGGAAAAGAAGCAGAGATTGAGAGGGGAGGAGCCATCTTCGCCCAATGAATCATCCGGCTTCCTCTCCTTTGCCAGAGTCAGGAAACAAATTTGGAACCCGGCTTGGATGAGCCAAAGTGCTCCTGCCTTCAAAAGCTGCCTACTGCTTCACACAGGGGGGGGGGAGGGGGG